CAAGCCCCTGAATTCCCACGTCAGCGAGGCGGTGGGTCAACAGCTGATGGTCGACCGTATCGAACGTGACTGACAGATCTAACAACAGCAATGCCACCACATTGCCTCGATGCCTTCAGAGATCGTCAGTCAAGGTGACCAACGCCATCTCTGTTCCATGACCCGAGCGAAAGCCAGACTGGAAGGGATCCAGGACTGAAGCATCATCCAGAAAGCCCTGTAACTGTAACGCCACCACCCTCTCTATCAATTTGCCCAAATAGGGCAAATTGGAAACCGGTCGATAGTTGGCCAATTCAGCTGGGTCCAGAGATGGCTTTTTAAAGAGAGGGCGGACCACCGCCTCTTTGAGTGCTCCGGGGAATCATCCCTCAGTAAGGGACTTGTTGATAATCTCCTACAGAGCACCTTGAAACCCCTCGTGACCCACCTTAATGAGCCAGGAGGGGCATAGATCAAAGTCGCATGTGGTTGGGCGTACAGAAACGAGCCATCTGTCAACTTCGTCCAAGCTGAGTGGGCTGAAACACTCTAAACCCGGAACCGAAGGCACGCAAGGGGCCTCGAGTTCGCTCACTGTCTCAATCGTGGCGGGGAGGTCATGTTGGAGCGTTAGGACTTTATCTGCAAAATAGCTCGCAAACGCCTCACAGCCAATATCCAATTCCCTATCGTTTCACCTGCCCTGTGGCAGGTCTATCAAGGACCGAATCGTGCTAAATAATTGGGCCGGGCGTGAGCTCGCAGATGCAATCTCGGCTGCAAAGAAATCCTTCTTAGCCACCTTGACTGCCATCTCATAGGCTCTCATAAACATCCTATAAGATGCCCTTAATGCTTCGTCACAAGCATGGCGCGACCGTCTCTCTAGTCATCTCAGTTCTCACTTCATTTGCCGCAGCTCCTGGGTATACCAAGGAGCCCGCCTCAGCATCCGGAGAGGACACCTGGGAGCTATCTTGTCGATGGCTGCGGAGAGCCGGACATGCCAGTTTTCCACTAGCTCATCCAATGAGCCACCAGGGGGCCTCGGATCTCACAAGGCCCTCTGGAGCCACAGAGGGTCCATCTGGGCCCGCGGGTGAGGATAAATCAGCTTGCTGCCCACAAAGGGTCGGGGTGGAACATTCAGACGGGCCTTCAGGGCCAGGTGGTCCGACCATGGCACTGCCTCACCACTCCAGCGATAAACTAAATTTAACCAGTTCCCTGCTATTAAACATATATATATATACATATTACAAAATGCTGCTAGCCTACCCAACTATCTAACACAGCTGCTCATACCAGGGATAACAAATCTAATAATTACAGTACAAATAATAATTACAAATACATAAAATATCCCAACCCCGGTAACCACAGTCAAACACCCCAATCATACAGCATTCACTTCACACCAGCCGAACCCTCACCCACTCCACTCTCATCCAACCTCATTCACTCTTATTGCCAAGCAGTGTGTGTTCTTTAGTCCACACTGTCCTCATGTAAGAAGCTCGCCCGTTCACCACTAGGGGGCCACCAGCTTCTTCAGGCCCTCAGTTGTCTCCGGCCAGCACCCGTCACTCTGCAACTCTGGCCCACGCTGCACGACCCAGCCGATCACAGCCTTTGCTTATATTGCAGGGAAGCAGGTCATTATGCCAGTGGGTGTCCTGCCAAATGGAGGCCAACCCCAAGTCAGTGTGGGCCAGAGAGCATGGGGCAATTTGTTGGGTCCACAGGGGCCCCCTGTGACAACCCTGGAGGGTTCCTGGTGCCTGTGTAGCTTTTCTTACCTGATGCATATTGGCTAATTGTCTATGCCATGGTGGACTCAGGGGTCTCCTGCTGTTCATGGATGCTAGGTTTGCAGTGCAGCACAAAATCCCTCTTTTGTCCATGGTGCCTTAGATGAGGCACTAGATGGGCACCTGCTGTGCTCTGGCCTGGTTGTTCAAGAGACTCAACCACTCATTATACAAATCAAATGGCACCAAGAGCAGCTTTGCCTCAACACTGTGAGCATGCCCTGGTTTCCTCACATATTATTTATTTATTTGCTTTGTTTTATTTCTATCTCACCCTCCCCGCAAGCGTGAGGGCAGGTCACATAAGTCAAATCAGCAAATGTAATGACAGAAATATACAATTAATAGGGTTAAAATAATACAATGGAATTAAAACAATTTAAAAACAGTCTTGGTTAGGGAATCACATGATTGAATGATTGCCCTGTAGATGATGCTGTGGTGGAAACCTCATTCAGCAAAGTCTCTAGAGGTGTAATCACTAAATACATCTCTACATCGCAGGGGAGGTCCAGGTGTAATGGACTTCCATCACCTCAGCCAAAGGCCTGGTGGAACAGCTCTGTTTTACAGGACCTGCAGAACTATAAGAGGTCCTGCAGGGCCCTAATCTCAAATGGGAGCATGTTCCACCAGACCAGGGCCAAGATAGAGAAAGCCCTAGCCGAGGCTAAACAGATATCCTGCAGGTTGCCCTAGTTAGCCCTCCATGACCCCATCATTGGGTGGGCTCAGCTAGTTTCAGGAGCCATGCCCACACCTGAATCAGTCCACAGTCCTTGTTGCTGCTGCCACCCTGGTGTTTCCTGCACTACCTGAAAAGTATGCAGATTTGAAGGACATTTACAAGGAAAGGGGAGCTGATCAACTACCACCGTATCGGCCATATGACAGTGCTATAGACCTCATCCCACCCCTACCTCTGATTTCTGACCTACTGGAACACCTAAAGGGAGCCCAGATTTACACCAAACTGAACCTCCAGGCTGCTTACAACCTGGTGTGCATTTTGGAAGGGGATGAATGGAAAATGGCTTTTTGGTACTAGGTATGGTCAATTCAAGTACCTGGTAATGCCATTTGGGTTGACCAATGCACTTGTGGTGTTCCAGAGGTTCATGAACAATATTTTTCAGGACCCTCTGGACCAGTTCATTATTATTTATTTAGACAACATCTTAATTTATTCATGAAACTCAGCAAAACACTCCCAGCATGTGTGCATTGTGTTACAATTTGTGTTACAAAGACTGCAGAAACACAGCCTGTTCACCAAGTTGGAAAAATGCACCTTTGATCTGCAGGCCGTGGAATTCCTCAGGTATCTGATTTCACTGCATGGGATCAAAATGGATCCAAAGAAAGTTGAAGCTGTACAGACTTGGCAGACCCCACACTCCCAGAAAAACATACAGTGCTTCTTGGGCTTTGCAAACTACTACCGGCAGTTTATCCCAGGCTTTGCATCCATCACAATTGACACAACTCCTGCATCCTCAGGAGCCATTCCAGTGGATTCCAGAGGCAGACCAAGCGTTTAAAACCTTGAAGGAATGGTTCAGTCTCTGGACTGCTACTCTGGTACCCTGATCTACAACTGCCTCCTCGAGTACTCCATGACCCTGTGCCTACTACTCTCACCAGCTCACTCCCACAGAAAGAATGTATATGATCTGAGAGCAGGAGCTACTCACGATCAAGGCAGGTATTGAGGTTTGGCAGCACCATCTCAAGAGAGCTTGCATAACAGAGACATGATTGGAGGAAAACAATGTAGTATGTCTGGTCCAACTAACACCACTTGGTTATGCTGGCCTCCACTATCCCTGTGCATCTGGCTGGGGGGGATGGGAGGTGTGGCTATTATCCTCTGTAAGTCCTTCCTCAAACCCAGTGCAAACAATAACTAGCATTGACTGTGTGACCCTTACATTAGGGACTGATTAGGCATTGTGCTTGTTTACCAATCACCCCATTTCCCAGTGGGCAGCCTCTCTGAGTTGGCAGAGGTACTCTTGGATGTGGTACTGGAGACTTCTAGACTGATTGTTCTGGGGGACTTCAACATTCATATTGAGGATACATCACTGGGACTGGCCCCAGATTTTATAGATTCTTTGACTGCCTTGGGCATATCACAAATTGGGACCGGCCCAACTTAATCTGTTACACTGAGCCTTTGAGGGTTGGAGCTTTCAGCGTTGGAGATCTGGCCCAAAGCATGGTCTCCATGTCCTCAGACAGGATGGGGGCTTCAGGATATGGGGGAGACTTCAGGGTCACAGTGTGCCCTGGCTCAGCCCTGGATGATGTGGCCAGTAGACAGATGGTGGGTCTGGGATAAAGAGCCACTGCCAGACCGACTGGTATGCAGGCCACACCCTGTGCAGCACATGGGCAACCATCAAGAGAGAGCAGCTGGAGACCCAGCACAAGTGGGGGGATCAGCAGTGCTGGGAGGACCTTGCAATGGCTCAGGAGGCAACTACTGGGCACCTTGACAGGCTGCTGGCTGTCTCTGGGGACATGAATGGGTGGCTGGCATACATCAAGTGGCTGCTTGTGACCTGTCAGCAGTGACCCAGGGCCTCGTGCCAACCCCATCCCTGTGTCCCCCCCCCACTCATCACCAACAGTGGATGTGGTCAACTGGGGTGCCCCCTGGGTCCTTTTGGTAACAGGAGGCCTCCCCACCGATGACTGCTAGGCACCCATGGGTGGCCCCATTTTTCTTTTGCCCTCCCCATGCCACTTTCATGGGGATCATACCCATTGCTTCACATGGGGCTTGGGATCCCAGGGTGACAAGGCCCATTCCCCCTTTTTGTGCTGCTGTCTCCATCCTGTATGGCATGACTCAGAGGGTGCCTGGTCCCGCCCCTTTCTGCCTCTCTGTTTACCTCTCCTCGGGCCCACAGCCCCATGGCTGCTCACCTGTGGTTTGTTGGTCCCCCTGTCCATCGCAGTGTTGCATCCCTGTGATGTCTTGTGAGCATGCCAGAACAGTTGCTGGGGATGCCAGTGCAGTCATGGCCCCTGGGGCCACACTGCTTGTTATCTGTACAGCTCTGGGCCCTTCTGGGTCCCCTTGAAGAGATGGACCTGTGGTGCCCTTGTTGTACTGGCAGCTGGCTGGCACACAGCACTGTTTCTTAAAGAAGCCTGAGGTTCAAGGAGGTAAGGGTGATGTTCTCTTTTGAGTCTTACCCGTACAGATGAAGCCAGGCAGCCCTCCATAGATCAGTTCATCATTGTCAGGCAACACAAAGGGGCATCTAGTCTGCACCTCCAGGCAGTATTGCTTGCATGGAATCCGGTGTTGGCACTGTAGTTGTGTCACATTGAAATATTCAGAGCACAGCCAAGCCTTGTAGACAGCCTGCAAGAAGGAAGCAACAGTGTGTCAGTAGACACCTAAAAATAATGAAGACCCCGATTTATCAAAAGCAGGGATATGAGATCAGTTGTTCATCATCTTGCATACCGCTCAATAACGTTTTACATGGAACTGATCTCGCTTTTAAGCTGGTTCCTTATTTAGAGTCTGCTGACCCAGCCATGCTGATATATTCTAATGTAAACTCCTAATAGGAAACTCCATGTCTCATGTGAGACTGCCTTTGATGTCTTGGAAGGATCAGTTGCTGCAACATGTGGCAACTCCTGTTTGGTGTCGGCTGCTTGGAAGACATAATTCCAGTGCTTCATCAATTGTACTGATTACCTATTTGCTTCCATGCACACTTAAAAATGCTGGTTTAAGGCCCTTCATGTTGTTGGTCCCTTATAATTATCAAACTATGTCTCTTGCTTGCCAGGTTTGCTCTTTAGACAGCCTTTTCCTGGTGATGCCCTCTGTTAAGATTATCCATCTAGCAACTGCTATGACATATGGGCTTTTTCTGTGGTAGGTCTCTGGAATGGCCTACAAAAGTGGGTGCAGAGTGAGCTTCCAGTTTGTGCATTTATTTATTTATTTGCATTATTTATAGTCCTCCTTTCTCACAGGAACTCACTGTGGATTGTACAGGGTATGTCAACACAATCAACAGGATGAGGCATTCAATAAACAATGCCATAGGATTAGGGTTGTAGAAATCTAGAACCAACCAGAAATCTAAAAGACAGACTGAAGCAAAGCATAAGTTTTAATGTGACACATTAAACAGTGCAACAATTACATAGTTGCATCTTTCTTACAATGCATTATACACAGCAGTATAAACTGTTGTCCCTTTTATGCCACAATCCCTTATTATTTATCCCTATCATTTATCCATACAAGTTTGCAAACCGTTTTATATAGTGCAACCCCATTGCCTGTGCAGAAAAGCCCTCTTAAACAATTCAGTTTTGAATAGTTTGTGAACATCACCTTCTCAGGCAAGCCATTCCACAAGGTGGGAGCCACAGTGGAGAAAGCAGGCATACGGGCAGTTGTTGATTTAACCCATTTGCGGTTGGCATCCACAGAAGACCCTGCCGATATGAGCAAAGTGGTGGAGCCTGGGGAAGAGGTAGTCCCACCGAGAAGAGGGACCAAGGCCATGAAGGGCTTTGTATGTGAGAGCCAATTCAATAAATTGAGCCTAGAAACAAATGGGCAAACAATGAAGTGTCTGCAGAACTGGAGTAATATGGTACATGTGCTCCATCTAAGCTCCTGATAATAACTGAGTATTGACTGGAGTTTCCAAATTGATTTTGAGGAGAGGCCACGTACAGTTCATTACAGTAGTCTACTCTCGACACTATTGCGGCATGGATACAGGTGATTAGATCATCCATATCAAGGTAAGGGGTTGTATTTTAAAGAAAGAAGTAGAAGGTTCTATTTTGGGAAGTCATTTAGTGAAGGGGAAATGATTTTGGATGATTTGGCTGTATTTTTAATTTGTGCATAGGCACACTAAGGATGAAGACAGATGTGCATAGTTTGGATACAGGACTTGCTGTGGATCCAAACTCACGTCTTTCTAGACAGATAAACAAACTGGAGAACTGGAAAACTCAGGGGCTGCTAGTTATTCCTATCTCCAGGATAAGCAAGATGTGTACAGTTCTGATGGAATGGCCTTTGTGGCAATCAAAAAGCCACTGCTCTTTTCCCTGAGTAAAGTTTAAGGCTTAAAAAAAAGCCTTTAAATGAATAATACTTACAAGACCCTTGAGGGAAAAAATCTAAAATCTGCCTGATGTACAGGACTAAGGAATGCTAAGCTCATCTGGCAGCAGAAAAATGTGGCCTCAGTACTAGAAAGAGGAGAAGTAAATCTATTGATACTTGAACTGACAGAACATCTTTTGGCAGAATATTTCTCAAAAATTAGACTAAAATCACACTAAAGTTTGCCTGTAAGACTGGGGAGGTTTTCATGCTTCTCTGACCAGTGCTCTGCCCCATCTGCAGCTTGAGCAAGGCCCTTGAAGGAGGGCCCTTGAAGTCAGGAACATCCTGTGTCCAGCCAAACATCTTTCATTTTATTTTTAAAAGGCAGTTCTCACTGCAGCCACTAGGGGTGCAGGAAAGTCTGAGTACAGCAAAAAGCACTCACAGATTGGCTAGACTTCCTTTTCTTCAACACTGAATCAAACTTGCTTAACAGATCGTACAACCAAGCCAGCACACTAATAGCTGCTATAGTAATTGCTATCCTGCAGGACATTTTCTCCAATATTCTTGCCTTCTCTCTTCCTTTCCTTGCATCCAGCTCAGCCAGATCTTGCAAAGCAGTAGTTAGGGCGTTGCAGCAAGGTAAAACAACCTTTTCCCTATTAATTTCTCTCCCTCTTTTCCACACCTTTCTCATTCATTTATGTTTCCATTCACCTAATTTTTCCATGTCCCCTCCCTCTTTATTTTTACTTCTTGGTCTCAAGACCTTCTCATCCCTATCCTGCTTGGTGACAAGAATGTATTTAAGAGTAGCATAGTAGCAAAACCTTTGTTAATAATAAGAACAGAAGGCACTGGGTTTGCTGGACACTGTACATTGCACTGGTTCTTCTGGGCTTCCAACCCCCCCCCCCGGTTTGGACTGTGATCAATCAATCAATCAATTAATCAATCAATCAATCAAAAGATTTATTGGCATATCAACAAAACAAAAACCAGCAGCAGGGAGACAACCCCTGCAACTGAAAGAATCTTCTTTTAGAGGCACAGCAGAGAAATTTAGCTACAGATTCAATGATCTCAGAATTATGGGAAGAAACAATCTTATAGTCATCAGATTGCTGTACATGGCTTTGATAAAGAGGTTCCGGAAAAACAGCCAAGGTCCCATTCACACGGAGAAGTTGCCGTGCTAAAGACATGGATGATAGGTAGATTTTCGGTGCGCGATCACACTGCAACATCTGGGAAGTGGCTAACCTGTGGCTTCCCACTGAAGATGTGGCGTAAAAACTACTGTATACAATGTACTAGTTTCCGGAAAACGCGGGGCAAGGGCAGGCGTCTGATCGCGTTTCTGCTCGAATCCTGTGGCATCCGGCGCCCATCCATGTCCCGTCGCAAATCAGATGTGGGTTTTTTGTCTCCACAGGATGCACTTGCTCTATCATGAGCATGCACAAACTTTGGTGGGGGAAAAAATCCCATTTGCCACGGAAGCGGCGCCTAGTGATTGCTGGTGTGATCGTGCCACCCCATTTCTTTGCCACACTTCAGGATAGCCGTGTGATCGGCACCTACCGGCATAACCACGGGAACTCCATGGGATGTGTGATTGGGCTGCCGCGCTTTAGTTTGCTCCGGGGCAGACAGCCATGCCTCACCCCCGTGTTATCTGGCCCGTGTGAACAGGGCCCAAATATCACAGTAAAAGGATCAATGCAGGAGAACATGTTCAATACTTTCAATCTCCCCCAAGGCACAGGCACAAAACCTAGAAGAGTATGGGATTTTCTTAAACCTCCTGTACAATACAGCAGAAGGGAGAACATTAAAACAAGCTAACATGAAGGCTCTCCGCAGATCAGGGGTTGTCAGACAACCAAAATATTCGGCAAAAAATTAGAGGGCATCCCCCACCTCAGAGGCAAGCATCTACCGGAGGCAAGACTTCTAAGTTACTGCATTTCAATATCAACAAGTCTTTGCTTAATCAGAACAAATGCACTCCTCTCCGGAAGGTACACAATGTCATCGAAGTTAAGCCCAATTACAAAATCCCCCCCTATAAAGGTCATCCATGCAGATGTTTGTGCTTCAGAGAGTATGTGCACAATAAGACTATTAAGACTACTCCTAAAGTGTATACATCGCCAAAAAGTTAATTGTTGTGATCCAAGCTCTTGTCACTAAACAACTTTGATTCACCTCCAAACATATGGCTGCATAAAAGAAATGGGTGAATGCAACGGCCAGGCTTTTGATGGACCTCCCTTTTTTGTTATTTCAGTCATTGAGAAATGTCACTCTATGGATATACATTAAAAACCTCTAGAGGAAGAAGCAAAATTGATATTCAACTTGAATACATTGATACCTCACAGACTTAATAATATGATGGATATTAGGTTATTTGTAAATATTATTTTGGTCTGCAATATTGTCTGGTATATCTATATCAGAATTCTAGGAACTGGCCCTTTAAATCCCCCCCAACGGCTGAGAATTATTAAGAACAAGAGTGTTTGAAAAGAAGCTTAGAAAACAGCTGTCTTAGAAGCAACATTCCTAGGAAGACAAGACTGTAAGGTTTTTTGCCAGGGGTGAGGGAGTGAAGATGTTTTTGGTAAATGTATATATCAAGTAAGGAGCATGGTGATATTTTTGTCTTGTTTTAGATTCTGGAACGATTGTAAGGCAAACATCAGCCATTAACAGAATAAGAGATTGGAAGATTTTTTGGGTAAGTGTAATGTGTAGTGGAAGGAACATAAATTGTGCACTGAAGATATGTAACTTTCATGTCTCGGAAACTATGTTGCAGGAGATGTGTTTGCTTTACTTTAGATTTGACTACTAACAAGCAGATCCAATCTTTGAGGAAGTTCTATGAAATGGGTTCTCCAGCTAGCCCCCTGTAAGGCTGGAGACTGCCTCTGCATGGAGTGAAAGACTTTCAACATTATCTGAGACAAATTTTGTCTTTTGTTTCTTATAAAGCATATAGGAATACAAGTATTCATGCATTGTCAAAGTCTACAGAATTATAATACTTGAAAAAGGATACTTCTTAGCTTTATTGCACTGTTTGTTAGTATTTATTAGCCTTTCGATATGTTTGTAAGAATATAGTGATTTAAAGGGATTTCTTAATCAGTAGACTTGCACTGTGTAAATGATTTTGTTAAATGGACACAGAAGTGTTATTTCTATTATTTGATATTATTTTGATATCTATGTACTTAGTAATGAGAATGAGAAGGGAGCACTCACTGGAGAACACCTTGATGCTGGAAAAGACTGAAGGTCAAAGAAGAAGGGGATGGCAAAGGATGAGATGGTCAGACAGTGTTATCGAGGCAATGAACATGAAATTAAGCAAACTCCAGAGCACGACGGAAGACAGGAGGGCCTGGTGTGATGTAGTCCATGGGGTCGCGAAGAGTTGGACTCAACTGTGCGACTGAACAACAACAACTTAGTAAATGTATATTAAAAAGAAGATTTGTTTAGAGTTAATGTAATGTATCCAGTCCAGACAAGTCCAGAGACAAACGTCGAGCTTCGCTCCAAGAGACAATGGACTATGCGGATCCTAGCCCACTCCAATCAAGGGGCTAGGTTCCTGGCTGAGAGCCTATGGGACTCTTGGCCACTCTAAATAACCTATAGGGAAGTAGGGGTGTGTTTTGGGTGGTGGTTTCTCGGGGGATATAAGCTGGCCTGCGAGCCGGCCAAAGTTGTCTTGTTCTGGATAGAATAAAGTACGCTTTGCTGAGATCACTCTCCATTTGTGTACTTTTCACTGGCGACGAGGATGGGATCCATCTCCCTCAGAACAGAGACCATGTTCAGGACATCGCCGTGAGCCGCTGCGCCGAATTTGCCACCGCCGCCAGTATCAAGCATCTTCGAGAAGCGCCGCTCATCGCCCCGCTCCCGAGCTCCAAGAATCGTGCCGCTGACCCTGAGAGCAGCACCGCACCACTGTGCCTCTATGCAACGCTGAGCATTGCCTCACTGACCCCGAGAGCAGCACCGCACCACTCCACCGTCTATGCCGCTTGCTTCCACGTGGAACCCGTAAGATGGCTGCCGCATCAGAGAGTCTCCCAGTCTTCGACATCTCCCAACCCTCGCAGTGGGAGACCTGGCTGGAAACTCTCAAGAGCCACTTCACCATCCACAAAGTGGTCGAGCCAGATATAAAAAAGGCATACCTGCTGTGCCACTGTGAGATGGAGACCCATCTCCTGTATAAGGACTTAATAGCACCCAAGCTGACCAAAGACAAGTCGTACAGCTCCTTGGCCAAGGTGCTGACTGACCATCTGGCTCCCAAACCAATGAAGTTTGTGGAGCACCTGGTCTTTTTCACGAAGGTCCAAGGCCCCGATGAGACCGCCTCAGATTTCCTGGCAGCTCTGCAGCAGAGTGCGACCAGGTGCTCCTTCTCCAACCTAGCCGAAACTCTCCTCAACCAGTTCCTCGTGGGACTCCGAGAGCTGAAGCTCCAGAGGAAGCTGGTAAGCCAGGACGACCTGGACCTGGAGAAGGCAATCCGGGAGGCCACTGCATACGAAAAGGCACACCAAGACCGCCACGCCAAGGCGGTCCACCGCACGCAAGCAACCGCCGACCCCGACGCCTCGGATGAGGACAAAGTGCATCAGGTCCGTCATCAGTCGTCACCAGCCGTTCTGGATAGAATAAAGTACGCTTTGCTTAAATCACTCTCTGTTTGCGTACTTTTCAGTTAATTAGTTTTTTTTCTTGTTTGGACTCATATCTGTAGTTCTCCTTTCCTGTACAGATATGCAGTGTATCTAGGTACATTTCTGTGACTTCATTAAACTCTTTATTAATTTGGAAGCTGCTAGCCAGAGATCTGTCATCATTCTACACCCAATTTGGGCATGATTACCCAGGGAAAGCCAATGGGGGAGGCTGAGATTCCCCCCCCACACACACAGTGTGTCTGTGCATCTGCTAACACCCCACCCCCCAGTAGCTGGAGTGAAAGAACCAAACAGGAGATGCAATCACTGAGCAAAGGCTTTTAATGGCAGTACAGTAAAAGAATGCCAAAGCACCAACCCTTTAGCAGGAGATGCTCGTTGAAGACTAGGAGGTGGCAGCAACCAAGAACAAAAGAAATGGGGAGCAGAGAAAGAGATGGAGTTGGGCTGGATGGAGATCTAGGAAGGCCGATTTCCTGCATGCTCAGAAATGGAACTTGTGAGAGCAGTTGTGCCACAGTAATTATTGCCCTTGGGATTTACAGACTGTAAGAGTTCAAGTGAGCACATTATCAGTCGTTTTTACTGCAGTTCTAAAGGTAGGGCAGGATCATCTCTCGGCAGCAGTTGGGGCAGAGCCAGTTCACCAGCAGAAAGTGTAGCAATGTGAGAGAAGGCAGCAACTATAGATCACACTTGCTGTTCCCTCTGGTGTAGGAGATGATGCCGCCTGGGGGTCCAAGGTAGGCTGCAGAGAGAGATGCTTCCTTTCCAGCATACCTTGGTTCCTCTTGGAACAACACCAAAGAAGATGCATGCCTCCTATTGTGCTGCTGCTGCTGCAGGTTCTGACCCATCTAACATCAGGTGCAGAGGCAGATTCTTTCTCTGCAGCATGCCAGAAAAGATGGCATATGGGAGAAAGGACCTAGGGGCATCTTGCTAGTTTGAGCCAGCCCCAAGGTGGAATGTTTGTGAAGAAAAGCCGCATAACACAGCTCTTTCTCTACTACACTCCACAGTATCTGCTTAAATCTAGAGCTTCCCAACTTGTTATTAGAAGGCTTAGCCCACTTAGTCCACCTTACAAATGTGGCGCAATACAAAATTGCTCTCCATGGTTGGAGGCTTCCTCTTCATGGGAACAAGCCTCCAGATACGCCTATGAACCATGCCTGGTGCATCCATGTCCTCTGCTCCTCTGTGCTGCTAGTAGCCAAGAAAGCAGGGTTGCCAGCATGAGACTGGCAAACAGCAGGAGACGGACTTTCCCAAAGTTCGGGCCTTACTAGTGATGTACCACACACTGGCACCACACACTGACAGCACTTACAGTTGCAACCAGAAGTGATATCAGTGTGTCACTGGCGATGCTCTGGAATTAGCTAAAACTGTATTTTTAAATGTATTGCTCTGAATACTCCCAGAGTGCTGCTGGTGATGCCTTGATGTCACCTTTGGTTGTGCCAGGAGTGATACCAGTGCACTGGGAATCTGGTGACCACCACCCAGTTTCTTCCATATTTTATCCCACTGCCCAGTTGAGCTGCAGGAGGAAGTAGGAATGGGCATTGCAATATACTGGGTTCAGACGCGTTCAAGTGATCAGCTCATAGTTTATTGGTGATTCAGCAAGAGAAAGAAGACTGGGAATCCCTGGCCCAAAGCCTGGTATTTAAGCCTGGGAAAGGTCACACCCAAAACACACCCCACTCCCAACGAGAGGCTGTTTACACTCCATTGTCTCCCAGTTGGTTTCCTCTAGGATCCCTGTCTCCCCGACTGGTCCATTCTAGGATCCTAGCAAGCTACTGTTATGCGTCCTAAGCGAAGTCCTTTTGCAAGTAC